TCAGTTATGCTGACGTAGATCGTCTCACAGACGGGTGTAAGAATCCATCCAGGGCGGCTCGCTATTTTCGGCTTAGTCGTTCGGAAAGAGTTGTTGGTCGGGCGGGCCGCTGACGGAGGAGGAAGTTTAGTTCTCCTGCGAGCTTGCGGTGCGAGTTTTTGGGATGTCGTGTCATGCAATTCATTGCCCATCCAGGAAGTGCGTGGGCAGGGCCCTCCTGTGAGCGGTCATATTCGATTTCTTGCAGGTATTTGCCCTCTGGCTGCGAGGCAGATGCATCTACGAGCCTCAGCTTCTTGGACCCCGTTGGTCTCGCAGCTGTCGGTTGGAGCTTCGCCAAGAGGCGCCAAGCATACCTCAAGGACAGCCGCGCGAGCACGTTGGCGAACATGTGCCGCGCCACGCTCGACGTCATTTGTCAAGCTGCCCCGCTACTTGTCGCCATCGGCTGGCCTGAAGCTCGCGGGCATCCCGAACGGGCTCGGCGCGGTCTTCGAGGTTCCGCGGTGGGCTGGGTGCAGGTGGCGGCGTGCGGTGCGCTTTGCCCCGCTGGCACCGCTGCCGCGGCAGGTCATTCTGGCTGGAAGGTGCTGACGTTCAATGACGGTGCGGAAACGCAGTAGAAAGGCGCAGGCTGCCAGCATTAACCTTTCAATGACCGCTATCATCGGCGTGGTCGTTGACCGACTCTGCGTGGGGCGACTGGGCGCTCTGCGCTGGACCCCGCTCCGCGCGTTCCCAGCGAGCGTTGTGCTCAGGGGCCCTTGGGCTTTGAGACCTTGCCTGGTTCGCAGCGGATGGTAGCGCGGAGGACATCGCCAGTCGGCGCCATGCAGAGCTCAAGCACGGCCGCGTGACCACGCCGCTTGCGGGATGGGTTGCGCCAGGCATGAATTAATTAGCAAGGTGCCTGACTGCTCGGTGCCTTTGGCTGGCTTAGAGTTCGCGGACATCATGATCGGTCCATCGTGCCTGGAGTCCGCGAGTCTCCCTCTTCCTCTGGTAATCGCACTAGCTGGCGCGGCCGAGTGCCCAGCTTCTCGCAGCGGCTAAGCAGGTGGCCCATGCTTCGGCCGACAGCTTCTCGGCCGCCCGCGGCGCGACCCGCGCGTGGCTCCGGGCCGCGTTGGCCCTGCGCGCGCGGATGGTGCGACCCGGGCGGCCAGGCGAGAGGGTGGGGAGGGAGGCCCAGCCGTCAATCCCCTCGGGCCTCGCAATCCAGCGTGTTTGGTGGCCCGTGCGCCGCTAGGAGCACCTCGATTCGCTGGCGCCGCTCGCCCCGCCTTGTTATCGCACCTTGACCGCGCGCCGCTGGGGGCAACTTGCTGGTGCTGCGAGCCAGCCGAGCCTCCGCCCATGATAGTGCCCCTGGCCCAAGCCTATCAGGCCTGTGATGCCTCGTTCTCTGCCTTTTGTTGGCTACTCTGCCCAGCCAGTTCGACGTGCCCCAGGTATGCCCGCGCGCCCTCGCGCTGCGGATGGGCGAGCCAGGGGCCGAGGAATCGCTCGGTCTCCTGCGCGTGGTTCACGGCGCTGCAGGCGGCCAGCTCGCGCGTGGCCTTAGCCAGGGCGGCGGCGCGCCTTGCTCTGCTAGCCTCGTCCACCTCGCGGGCGCCCGTGCGGCGGGTCGCCCAGGCTGGCCGAGGCTGCAGCGGCGCCGCGACCGTCTGCTCGACGCGCGTGCCCGTGCTGAGGAGGTGCCGCGGCCTGAGCGTCGACTGCCTCCCCGCGCTGCCGGCGCCAGGGCTGCCGCTTGAGCTGCTCCCAGAGAGCTCCTTGCCGACGCCGGGCAATGCCAGGTCCCAAGCAGCTGCCAGTTCTTTCGTGTTGGTCGCTGCCAGCGCCGAGGAGAGCACCGGCGACCGCCCCGTCCAGGGGCGCCGCGCGCAACCCGCGGGCGGTGGGTGCGCGCTGGGCTGGGCGGTGGGCGCGCCCTGGGCTGGGCGCGCGCCCGCGCGTGCGCCGGCGCTGCGGCGTTGCTTTGGGTCGCTGTGACTGGCAAGTGGGGCCGCAGTTTCGTGGCGGTGCCCACCGTGGCTCGCCTAGGCATCCTGGGACTAAGATGCCGTGAGACCAGGGGGTGCTCAATGACGGGGCCTGGCGCGCTGGCGGCGCGCGTCGGGCCCCGAGTCGCTGCGCGTAGTTCTCCCGCCAGTCGCGCCCAAACTTCGCCCTGCAGGGTGGCGGGGGTCATCGGGGAGTCGCCCGTGGCGGCTCAGTCCAAGCCCATGAGGTTGACGCCCTTGAGGTACGTGGCCACCTTCTACAGCGCGCCGAGGCTGTCCGCCGAGAGTACTTCGCCCGCGTGGGCGTGGACGGCGATGATCACGAGGCTGCGCGCGCTCTCCGTGAAGAACCGACTCGCCATCGCGCGGCCGGCCTCCAGCTCGTGCCCGTCAAGCACAGGCGCGGCCGTGATGAGCGCGCCCCTTGGCGCCAGCACCACCGCGCCTCCTTGGCTGCCTCCAGCCGCCGCGGGCGTGGCTGCGCTCCACATCACCCTGGCCTGCGGAGGTCGAACGCCGAGGCCAGTGCTCCGCCCGGCTTTTCCGCCGCCGCGCAGTGCTCGTCGGTCGCGGCAGACTGGAGGTGGCGAGGTCCTCCAGCATCGGCCCGTTCGAATTAGAGTTCACGCAGGTGGGTCGCG